CTCTTATCACAGTGACGCTTGTTTTCTATGCTTGCTGGATGCCCAACCTGATCTACTACCTCATTATTGCCTTTTCATCAGAAACAACTCCATTAGCACAAGACTTTGATAATGCAGCTCCATTTTTCCACCCCTTGACCCATGTCTTGCACGTTTTAAACTCTTGTACTAACCCTTTTATATACGCACTTAGAGACGAACGGTTCAGAAAATGTATTTGCAGTCTGTTTTGCACAAATCGAAGAGAGATAAATTCCCAGCAAAATGACATTCCTATGAACCGCATTGCTCCCGCTTCAGTGGACGGCAACATCTGAACATAGCTGTGCCAATATTTACTTGTATTCTTTAGATTGTCTCGAATTATTTTAAATTCAGGACCACTTTATTAAAATAGCTTCCCAATTCTGGGAATTCTCGGCGTGCAAGTTACGTTATCGCCGCCATGTTGGATGAAAGTCACAAAGCATTCCTCATTAGTTTCTCTTGTTCATTCATCCAACATGGCGTCGATAGCTTTGTTCGTTATTTCTCAGGGGATTCCTGATCATGTGGTTGCACACGAAGAATACTTGAAGATCGGGTTGTAAGCGCTAAATATGGCACTTCACTTTCTAAGTGTTTGGTCTTTGCGAATCCCTGCAGGTTTTCATTTCTCCCCAATCTCCGCAGTATCCCTATAAAAATTAGGTAACACCTAATAGCGGAGCTCCAATAGCAATATAGAAGCTGAAAATGATTATCTAGTACTGGCATTTCAAAGGTAGATGCTTTGTTCTAAGGAATGTGAGCTACAACAGTTTTGTTGACATGCGAACAAATATTATAAAGAGTATGTTTATGAGAATTTAGTTCGTACTAATATTGACTTCGGTAGACTTTGTTCCGTTGGATGAAGTTTAAAATTATAATCTATAAAGGTCAATTGATTAAAAGTAAACTGAAAGCTTCTNCCAATCTCCGCAGTATCCCTATGAATTTAGTGTAATACAGAACAGGCACAATATTTGAGCAATGGGTTGTATTTCCGAAATCGTATAACAATCGATTGCAAATTCGAAGAAAATATTAGCTGAAATAAATTTTAAATTAAAGTTTAGGGCGAAAGTTCCATTATAAATGGAAATAAAAGCTACTTCATTGAGGAAATTCATGGGGGCTGCAATATGTCAACTTGAAAGAGTCAATTTGGTCGTTTTGACATGATTTTGCTACAATGAAGATGGCATTTGACATTCTTAGTTATACAGTGTTATTTCGATAGTAGTGTTAAGCAAACATACTGACTCTTGTCACTTGACAGCTTTTCCTCATGGGGGCACGGTTTCTTCGGTTTTTCCGTAGTTCGACTCATAGTGGCTCATATTTGAAGCACGGCATTACAAATCAAAAATCGTGAAGACTGTTCTTAAGAAATTAGTCTAATAACATCATTAGTATATATAGGAGCAAGGAAATATTCAACTGAATGCAATAAGATGAGACTGTATACGAGTTTTGTAATTTGCTATTGGTTATTAAACCTAAAAAATATTTCAGAGGTCAATAGCCATTTGACACTTAATAAATAATGCAATGGAATTTTAATGGTATTTCTTAAAGGAATAAGTAGGAATTGTTTATTCATTTCTAAGCCTTTGGGACTCCAGTTTAGTCTCATAATGCAGATGGTATTATTTTTTATTTATTCAGCAAAGATTCTTTTTTTACAAAACGTAACAAACGATCGCAAAGGTTTTTCGGATGGATGTGGGCCTCCAAAAACTATTTTGAAAACGTTTCGATGCTTCTTACACTACAAAGCTATTGAAGCTTCTCTTGGAGCATTGAATTTGAATTACGAATCTGTGCTGTTCATCAGTCACATGGATTTCAAAAAAAGTTCGTAATACAAAAGTAATTCGTTTTAAGCGCCGTTTACACGAGCAATTTTTCCTTGACAAGTATTCCTTGACAAAAAATTGCTCGTGTAAATGGGGTAAAATGGGCAATTTTTCCTTGTCAAGGAAAAGTTGTCAAGGACGAAATTTGCTCGTGTAAATGGACAACTAGGAAAATGTGGCAAGGAAAAATTGTCAAGGAAAACTTGTTGACCCAGTCTGAATAGGGTAAAGCTTTTTTCCTGGATATTATCATCTTGCATGCATACACAAAAAGCTTTGACGGGGATAACGGCGAACGATGATTGTCGAGCGGAGATTGCATGACCATCGGACAATGGTTGCCCTGCCGGTTTAATTACTCGGGGTTCCTGTGGAACGCCGAGTATTAATTTCGGCTTTATTATTTTTTTTTGCATTCATCGCCAAATCGCGGCCAGACTAGCCAGGCGTTCCTAGCCTGTCTTGTCTCGTCCCATGCTTCAAGTGCTAATAGCATCAGCTTCTTCGTCGATGGACTTATGGTATTTCTTCTTCTCAAAAAATACGCTCAAATCACTCACAAGTACACACGCGGTATAGCCACATTAAAAGATGTCGACCGTTTTCGGAATGGGCATTTTGAAAAATACCGCGAATTTATCAAGCTTATTGTGACTTAAGTTATGATACGCAAGCCATTTAGGTTATATCCAAAGCCGACCAAAGCCAATCATATACTACAGGCCTTCTATCTTAAAAGCTACTGATATTCAAAGCTCTAACTACTATAAAAGAACAATAGACTCAAGTGCCGATTGTCAACAAAACTGCACAGGTAAAATGACGAAGGATTGCAAACAAAGGATCAGCGAATGGTATTTGCGTTAGACCAAATCCGGGACCAAATGTCTGCCAAAGTAAGGACAATTCTTGGTCAACAATAATGATATTAATACATTTTCTTTTTTTACTATTTTCAATCCAAGGAAGGATTTTTAGTTTTACTTTATATTTGATAATTATAGTTTTTATTATTCTTTGCAATAATTGCGGTAAATTTAAGTCAAAATTATATAAGTGTTAATTATTATGCTATCAACTGGATTGAGAATTTATTATATTTTTTGGTCACGGCAAGAATAAATGAAACTACATATTCTATATGTATCATTAAACCAAGAGACTACACTAAAAAGAACCCCGAGTGCACGCTGACAAGCGTCTTGTTAAAAAAAAATCACCGTTGCTTAGTTAACCTAGCTTGTTTATTGAAAATCATGGAAGAGTAAATCAATGGAGCCATTGATGACCACAGACTATCTTACAGTATAAATCAGTTATTATTTCCCATCAATTAGCAAAATCCATGACTTCTTTTAGCGCGTAATTTTGACAATGCTCCAGTTTCAAGTTTTCTTTTGTGCAAGCTTAGCTTCAATCAAGCATAAAATATTTATTGCCTTCTTTAGACAGAGAGTCTTTTGCATTACAATAGGATCTGTGCCGAATAAAAGAATATATTACATGCTTTCGAGGTTAAGTGCTGCCCAAATAAGATCTCGAAACT